TTACGATAGAAGAGAGTATGAGAAATTCGTAAATGAACACGCCGAATCTAAGTGGAATACTGATGAAAATCCACTCTTCCGATCGCCAGTTTCAAACTTCCAAAATCCAACTTACAGACAAAGAAAGTCACTCAGGCATACACTATCGTTTCTCAAACAGAAACAATAATTCACCATCAACATTTACATGAACTTTGTACAATTGCAAAGCTTTCAAAGTATTAAATATATAGTTTATTTAAAAGTTCCCTCGTTACACATGAATCAATATGAGATTTTATAAATAACAATAAATACTGAATAAGTTGTATTTTATTGAGAGTTTATATATTTAATCAATCTTAAATTCTTAATATTATAATTACATCATCAAATAAATTACATATTATATATAAATATATATAATATAGCCTTAGATTTTAATGAGAATATACCTCATTTGTGATGTAATATGACGATATAACATTACGCAAAAGAAAATTAACATATATAACGGAAAGTAAAATACAAAAAAACGGCAACTCGCATGGAGGATGTTTCCGAACTGAAGACTATTATAAAAATAGACTGGAAGAACCATTTGGCTAGAAAGAAATAACAGTTATAAATTGCTTATTAAATAATTGACTATAGTATTTTTAATGCAACCTGTTCCTCGACTGAAACAAACAAATTGAATCCAATTGGATTCGTTTTATTTGAAGAAATATAAAATTAATATACTTTATACGGTGGTTTATAGAAATAATTATATTGACGCTAACAAAATTGTTATTAAGTCATGTTATATAATTATAATATACTTAGGTAAACGTATCAATGACGAAGCATTAAAATGTTATAAAGAAAAATAAAATTGGAAATGGATTTAAAAATAAAACCATTAAATGTCTCCTTTCGCAGTAGTCTATTTTTTTTATTATTTTGTTACATTCCTAATGATGAGGATATAATATGTATCCAAAAAGAAAAACAAAGTTGACTTAGTATTATCCAATATTTGTTCGTTTTTTTTTTGTTTATTACATTTATCACAAACACACGAATAACTCCATTGCTATTTCAACATAGAGATAAAAGAAAAATACTCATTATCAAAATGAAATCGTATTAGGTAAATGACAAAAATAGTTCAAACTACAACCATTGTAAATATCTATAAATGCTAAAACTAGCTGAACAGACATTAATTTCTTTTATAAATTCCAATAGTTGTGTACGCTCCAGTCCAGGATCACTTTGAATGATTAAAAAAAAACGAAGATTTCCATACATTTACATTTCTAACACTCAACTATTTTAATTACATATATAATTATTGGTCTCCCAGAGACGCATAATTTATAGGAACGAAGTTTGGAGTTATTATTTTTGCTTATTCTGTTATTATTTTCATACTTTTTTTTTTTAATTTCTTTTAAAGAAAACTTTTAAAATAACTGGAATACACAATTATAATTGTGCAGACTACAAAATGTAAGAGATAGATATATAAAATAACATTTGTACAGGTTGTTTTCCTTGCAATTGTTAAAAAAATAAATAAAAAATAATGAGTAGAAAATAAATAAAAAAATATAATTCAATGGAAAACAAGAATAAAAAGTAAAACTTACATATTAAACATATATATTCACGTCTTTTTAAAGAAAGAAGTTATGCTTTTACTACCGCTGGCCGCCTTCGCTCGTGCTTTATCTTTCGTGTTTTGTACTAGTTGCTTGCTGGGCTTTATATCAGGTTTACTCAAATCCAATACATTGCTCGAGCCCATTTTGTTTTCGTCCTCCGTTTTAATTTTCTTCGCATCGGGCTGTCCGTCCAATATGCTCTTCCTCTTGAGACTCACTTGAGTCTCCTCCGGTATATTCAAGAACTTGAGAAGCTTCTGACTCAGATCATCCATCAGATACTCGGACACGATGCCAGCCGCGTATCGCAAATACGAATCATTGTCTTGTTCATTCTTTGTGGTTTTTACGAAAGACGCAGAAACTGCGCCACCTGAAACGTGGATGTTCTTCTGCTTCAAAATATCGGCAACACGTTCAGTTTTCTTTTTGAGCCATGACAGAGTCTTTTCTTCGTTATATTTAAATGCGTTCAAGTCTTCACTCTAGAAAATTATATGAAATATGAATTATTGATATAGTATGGGGAAAATAAAACTTACTTTCTTATCTGAAATCAAATTTAGGTATTTCAATCCACTAGATTTAAGCAGTCTTTCTGTTTCTGGATATTCTTCATCTCTCAGTAATTGTTCTAATGGTATAGCATGATTACTGCAGTACTTTCGTAAATATGGTAGTACTAAAAAAAAAAGAAAATTAAATTAGTTAACAAATCTTCTTATATAATTCTGATTTGCAACTGTACCTAAGAATATGGGATCTATTGGTGTGGATAAATGCATTTTGCCATCACTCTTAACAGAATCATCAATGAACCATGAACGTCTTCCTTCGTTGAAGGTTAAAATCTCTTGAACTGAATTATTTGCTGGGGAGAATAGAAAAACAGCCGACTCCCCAGTGTTTGGATGCCTAAGTGTAACAATATCTGGTGTTCCACTTCCTGTGTATTGCTCTGATAATTCCAATGCTTCACCTGGAAATTATATACAAAACATTATTCATAAAATCCAATAGGAAATCAAATGAAATTGCCTATAATTTCGTATCAATTAATGTTGATTGACAGAAAACAATTAACAAAAAAAAATTGTTTTGTTATGAAAAAAAGTTGTTTTAAATATCTATAATAATATTAATTAAGAAATTATCACAGATCATTAATATCAGTGATATTTAATTCGTATTGGAATATGTGCATTCTTATAAGCATTGTTCTTATACAATTGAATTCAGATACATAAAATAAATAATGGGGAAAATGGAAATCTTATTTTACCTTTTAACATGAAAATCCAATTGTTGGTGGGCTGTTGGATGTTCGCCTTAATGCACTTTTTCGGAGAGGCTTTTACTCGTGGCATTTTCGTGTATTTCGTCTCAGAATGTCTCGTATTTATATGATAAACTTATGATAGTCGGTTTATTTAGTTATAATAGCATATAATGATAATAAGTTGAAGCCATAATACGATGCGAGACGCCCGGGTTATAAACGACCTGATATTAGCAACGACTTTAAAAATGCAATTCGCATCGTTCGAACTCATGCTGCCAATGTGCATATATTCAAACATGAAAATTCACCGCCAAACTCAAAATACAATATCTCTATTATTTACATTTAATCATAATCATATTTATATTATTTTATATAATACCTCATAGAGGTTAAAATGTGTTTACTTAATTATATTTATATCATTATTAACATAAATAACGCATGTTTTTAACCTATGAAATTATTAAAATATGTTTTTTCATATCTATTAGATATTGTTTAAATTAACCAGTTTTTAAACTATCCAATAGACAAATTATCGAATATCAATAACTATTTAATACATTTATTTACAAATATTTAAATTTTCAGTAAATTAATTGATGATTGATAATTAATAATATATATATAACTAGTAACTTCCTACCAATTATTATTATCGGAAATTATTTATTTAAGATTATTTTAATTCTTCTTCACATTATATCAGCAATATAATATTTATAAATGATATTAACGCGGTCTTAGTGTTAGTCATGTCTAAAACAAAAATATGAAACTGTACTTGTGATTCATATTTTTTCTGAAAATTTCCATTAGCATAAACCATATTTAATCAATCGATACACGATATTTTTCTTACAAATTTATGATATATTATGAAAATTTTAGTACGTGCGCCATTTGGGCCAAAGGATTATCGATCATGCCGGTTACTATAAATAAATTTATGATTATAAATATATTTATTGAATTCAAGATTACATATAAACATCTATTGTAAAAGTATACACAAAAATATAAAATTGTATAGCGTATATACTTCACAGAGTAACAATTAGTATGTACTTTCTTAAATTTTAAAAGGCACATCCAACAGAAGAAAGTGGCTACTTTGGAAGAAACTAGATAAATTTTTAGACAATGGTAAGCAAAATTAGTAACAATCCTACAATTATATAACAAAATAAATAATCACAAAGCATAGCGAGTTATTTCGTAATTAAATTTAGTAGAAATGAAAGTTGCCAATGACATTCTAATAATAGTTCAAGAATTTTCACAACTTCTACGTAATATAAATTAGCTATATTATAAAATATTCGATGAATTGCAAAAGAACAATATCGTTAAAAGATTCGGCTAGTCGAATATAAAATAAATAAATAATATCTAGGAATTAATTCCTAAGTGGTAACAAATCAGTATCAATTCTTTGGAGAATAAAATATCAGTTGAATGCAATATCTCTTAAATATAATAAGTATTTAAAAAATAGTAAAAATAAGAATGTTGCACACACAAAATTTTAGGAATCGCTTGACTAGACACGTTACACTTGAGTAGGAGCTTTTAAATAACCTGAGTTACTTGTAGACGGTTCTTGTAGTGTGCTGTGTTGTTGCTTGTGTATATACAAGTCCAAATCGCTGTCTGATAATGTCTTATTAATCACAGTATCCCATTGATCCGGAGTGGATGGGCAATTCAGCAGCAAATTATTCAAACGAGACTCATTTCCACCTAAAAACATGTTTTATTAACAAACGAATCGATGTGGTCTCTTGAGTACACGCACCCAATAACAGATTAGAAAAAGCAAAAGCCCAAATACAACACGTGATACTATCAGAAGAGTGTTAGTATATTATATGCATTTAGATTTCTATCTTATCATCCAACTTTCCAATTTTGCTGAAATTATTTGAAAAAAAAAGGTATTAACAAGTGTTTAGAGTGCGTAATTGCGTGCGTAAATTAATTTCTAAGAACCTATTTGTTCAATGATTCTTATTAGTTACGAAACGAGAAGTATTATTGTTGAAATTCTATATAGATCATTCAACAGGAGAAACTTACCATTTTGGGCTCTTAAAGCTTCCTGCTTTATAATAATTTCATTAGTTAAGAATGCTTCCCGTCTAATTTGCGCACTTAATTCTTTCGGGATATCGGCCACACACCATCTCACGATTATCATTACTAAAGCAACGACATTCTACAAATTATGATCGATTAAATTACATAATCACTAATTATAGACATTGATTAAAGTACCTCGAAAACAACAACAAATGCTAATCGCGCAGCTAGTATATGCCAGAACATAGCACTATGTTCATAACGATTTTCCGACCAAGGGGGTTCTCTATAATCTGGATATCTAAAATAATTGTTCAACTCAATGCTCAGTCCTATACAACGGCAACAAAATACAAACCTGCAAATTGATTCATTGGCTGAGCCAACTCTTGGAGAGGAACCAACCTGGAAGTCTGACGTGTTAAAATAAGATAGTGAATGGTTTAAATATCCCTCCAACGAGTGATCTTCGCTCACTGCTACACGATACACCAATCTCGGAATAAAGTCAGACGTGAAAGCTATTATAAAACCCTGAAAATATTTGAGTTTTTAATTTAAGCACATTGGTAGTTTCGATTCTTACATTAGTTACAACAGACAATTTTCCAATGGAGTCCAGTATCCTATACCATACTCCAATATCCCGAACCCTTTGAGTCACTGGTCTCCGATAAAAGGTCAATAGTTTTTGCGCATCCAAACGCATCTCCAATATGTTGTTAAGCAATGCAAAGAACGGTGCGAGCGGAAATGCCGCAACGAATATTGTCACAAAACCATACTGCAGCACTATAAATAAAGAAACAAGCAAAACATAAGTCAATTGCATATAAAGATTATTCGTTAAAATCAAGGACGGACTCAAGACACACGTATATTACATAACTTAAATTGACTATTTAAACAATATTATCCGAATTTAAATTGTACCTGGCATGGTGTAACCTAAAAAATTAAAAACAAATAAAATATAAGAATTTCCTTAACTTAATATAAAAATAATACGTTTATAGCTATCTGTAAATAATTAATATACAGGTTACTCCTTACCCATCTCTAAATATTCAGGAAACAGACTTCGCGGCCCCCATTCAACTAATTTGAAATCCTTGATCCATTGAGGCTGTTTCTCTTTATTTATTGGAGACTGATCTTTCTGCAATCCAATCTTCACTTTCCACGTGTTCAATTTCTTGTAAAATAGCGGGAAAAGCATTTCTAGAACAGTGTTCATAGCTTGCTTGCCAATCATGATAATTGCTAACTGTATGCAAAGCTCCATCAAGCAACCTTCAGGTCCGCACTGAAAATAAATGTAAGTATCGCATTGCACGTCTATTTTCAATTAATTACCTCCTCTTGTCTGTTTTTAAAAATTTTGTTATACTTTCTAGGTGATCCGATAAATTTTCCTTTGAAGAACGCAATATAAAAGATTGATGCGTAATGATTAACAAATTGTAACAAATATATTTTTAAGGTGAGTGAATCGTCGAATTCCGTTTGTGTCCGCAGGAATTCCATTTCTGTCAAATATTGGGCAACGAATGTGTAAATCTAAAATAATGTAATGTAATAAATCGTTATAGAATTATAAATTATATCTCTGTACCCAATTGAACACGAGAATGCAGCATAAATTTATAGATGCAGCTGTACTTGTGCTGAAGAACAAAGCTGCGCTCGTCGTAACGCGATCTTGGTAAACGCTTAAAGCTGCAAGAACGGACATCCGATATAAGACAACTGCTACAACAGTAGCCACCGCCAAAACAACCTAAAACAATTGTAAATTAAGATGAGTAAGTTAACATTAGTAAAATCTTACTAATAACATGACCACAGAAAAACTTAGTATCGTAGCGAGAAATTTACACCTAGTTATGGAGAGGAGGAAATAGTCCATGAATTGAAACATTTTGATAATTATGAGTTTAAATGTAATGGGAACATTAAGAAGCATCCAGATATAGCAGCAATCTCAGAAATAAATTTATACCAGGATGACAATTTAGATGAGCAAATGGATACCAACAAGTATGTACAAAGGTGTTAGTTTTGTTGGAAGATGAAATTAATATTTTCTTTTCTAGGGATTTTGCAGGAGTTCAAAGACCAGCCTTGAAAATATTTATTCAAGAAAGTTTTACAAATCCTGCAAACAATTCAAATGTACATTGCAATTGTGTGAAACATATTAAATGTCCAAAACCTACAATATTCTTCTCTGATGGTATCAGATCTGTTGACTTTATGTTGGTCTGGGATGAACTGGAGGAACAAGCCATAAGTGCCAACGCCTATATCAGAAGAAGAGTATTTGAAGATAATCTCATTAAGGAAGGTTTGCAATTGGAATATGAGGAAGCAGAAAAGAATGGACTTAATTTCATTAAAGTGCATGCTCCAAATGAAGTATTAAGAAGGTATAGTGAGATTCTTAAACTGCGTATGCCAATGAAAGAGGTGAGTTTTCAATATTTAATTTTCATGGACGTTGTTTTTTTTATTATTATTTTTTTTCACATTCAGTCATAATTTTATTTGCAACAACAATTATATGATTAAGTTGATCTAAATGTGTATTTTAACAGGAACTTTGTGTTATACCAAGGGAATTTAGGGAAAGACGATTATATAATGCCGCAAATTATTTACGGCAAAAGGTATTTAAAAGAAAATTGCCTGGTTTTCTCAAGTTTGGTTTTCTTTGGGGATCTTTCATATTCGCTTTATTTTTGTGTGTGAACTGTTTCTCTTATATAACTTATAGGACTAGTCTCATTAGCCAACATTTAACTATCAACTTTTAGTTATTTTAGTATTTCAATCTTTATATTTTAGATCTTACTGATTACATTTACTTTTTAGATACCAGGACTTCAAGAAGTTCACCATCACACGAATTTTATTATTGACGGATTCAATTCACAATTTCAAAAGTTGAAGTCATATATTTTAGTTGATAGAGAACATTTTCCTGAGAAAGGACATCGTTTTACGGCAATTTACAGCCGCGACCGAGAGTACTTGTAAGTATATTTAACTTGAAAAATTGGTTCATTCAATTATAGTACTGTTGTTTTTAAATAAATAATAATATATGAATAATGTTACTGCATTGTTACAGATTTGATGTTGAATCTCCCTGTTTTTTTACTCCAGCCATACATTCGAGAATTGTCCAATTTATATTGGATCGGAAAATGTTTAGTGAGAGAACAGACGATGACTTTTCTTTTGGTATAGAGAGACTATTGAATGAAAAGACTTATACGGCTGTTTATCCCTTACATGACGTACGTTTTTTTTTACTGAAAACTTATTATATATGCTTATTTTATGATATTTGCTTATATTATTTAGGGCGATTTGAGACAACCAGGCTCAATGAGGTACTTATTATATAATGAATGGGCAGCTATACGCAGATGGTATCGTTATCAACCATTGGATTACGTTAGAGATTACTTTGGGGTTAAAATTGCCCTTTACTTTGCTTGGTTGGGATTTTACACGCACATGTTATTATCTGCTTCAATTGTTGGCTTAGCTTGTTTTATATACTCCTGGATTACTCTGTATGACAACAAACCAAGGTAATTCCTTTACATGTTTAGCAAATAAATGAAAAAAATCACAAGAATATAATAATTTCAGTGAAGACATATGCAACTCACAAATAAGTATGTGTCCACTCTGTGATAATTGGTGTTCGTATTGGAATCTCAGCGAGACGTGTGTTCATGCTAGAATTACGTACTTATTCGATAATCCCACTACTGTGTTTTTTGCTATTTTTATGTCTTTCTGGGGTAACTAAACAAAAGCGCTTTTTGTAATAGAATAAATAAATTGTATTTATTACTTTAGCTACACTGTTTTTGGAAATGTGGAAGAGATATTCTGCCGAAATTACACATAGATGGGATCTTACTGGGTTCGATGTGCAAGAGGAACATCCAAGACCTCAGTACTTGGCTCGTCTATCGCACATTAAAAAGAAGCAAGTGAATATTGTTACAAACACGATGGAACCTCAAGTACCATTTTGGAGAATGAAATTTCCG